GATACAAGATTGGTTGTGCGGTTTCAAAGAAATTTGTCTCGTTCCCAAGAAAGAGAAACGAAAAGTCGGAGAGAGAGAGAGAGAGGAGCGTGTTCAAAAACTTACAGACGAAAAAAAAAAGCAAAAGAGATTCGTCTTGTTCCCAAGAAAGACAAACGAAGAGTCGGAGAGAGAGAGAGAGAGAGAGAGAGAGAGAGAGAGAGAGAGAGAGTCACCCTCCCCCTCGTACCCATGTCCCGTCCGTCATCGCCCCTCCCATTCGTCGTTGCCCTTCCCATCTGTCCCTCCCATACCGTCGTCACCCCTCCCATCCGTACCGCCTGCCGCCGCCCTCCCCTTCGCCCCTCCCATTTGTCATCGCCCCTCCCATCTGTCATCGCCATCCCATCCTTCACCGCCCTCCCATCCTTCATCGCCCTCCCATCCTTCGTCGCCGTCCCATTCGCCATTGCCCTCCCATCCTTCATGGCCCTCCCATCCCTCATGGCCCTCCCATCCTTTATCGCCTTCCCATCCCTGGTCTCCCCTCCCATCGGCCAGACACTCCTCCCACGTCACAAAAATGCAAGGAATATGAGGGAGAGCGATAGATAGAAAATGAAGTTGCAACATCACGGAGAAGTCCAGATAGTCATCTACCAAGCAGAGAGCTCAAATGCATCAAGGTTCCATCCAAATAAGAGCGAAGCAGTGAACTCGTGTTCCAGTGTTATCGCCCTAAGGCCCCACCAACACAGTATCCAATGTCGCTCATGTTTGTCTGGCGCCCAGCGCCCAGCCTACTCTACTGAGTCTATCTAGCCTATCTACAATTGTGCACCAAGATCACTTTGGATTCAGACGTTGAAGACCAGTGTACATGAAAATGCAAGAAAATGAGCGAGAACGATAGACAAAAAATCAAGAAAATCACAAGAAAAAAAAGAAAAGAAAAGAGAGAGAGAGAGAGAGAGAGAGAGAGAGAGAGAGAGAGAGAGAGAGAGAGAGAGAGAGAGACTGACCTCGACGGTGGAGTTTCGACAACAAGACGACGATGGTGGAGCTTCGACAGCAAGACTGCAACAGGGCAGACCTCCACGGCAAGACGACAATGGTACTGCAGCGGGTGGGAACTTTGACGACAACGCCGCTACTCTTCGACAGGGGCTGCCAGTCTTCGATGTTCGAAAAATCGTGTCCTCGACTTGTTCGAAAATCGTGTCCTCCCACTTGCGGGGCTGCTATTGTGCTCTCATAAGGTTCAAATTTTCACAAAGAGGGCCATTTCAGGGCCTGTCCGGTTGGGGTAGCGGTTCTGAAAAAACATCACCAATATTTTTCCGGGGTACCCCAGGCCCAAGTAAACGGCTTGGAAAACCCAATTTTGTTTTTCGAATTTTTCAAAATCGGGGTCCAACCGGACCCTCTGAACCGGACACCGGACTGTCTGGATCGGGATCCGGACGTCCGGTTGGTAACCATGCTATATATTTATTTATTTTCTGGAAAATTTTAATTTGCGGTATTTGAAAGGTAGTGTGCTGCTCTCACTCTCTCCTTCCTCTTGGCACATTTTTGACCCCATGTGGGGTGGGGAAATGCTGTCGAAAATTCCAAACCAATAAATATTCTCTCTCTCTTGCAAGGAATATGAGCGTGAGCGATATACAGAAAACCAAGTTGCAAAATGAAGCAGATGTCCAGATAGTCATGTACAAGCAGAGAGCTCAAATGGACCAAGATTCCATCCAAATAACAGCAATACAATCAACTCATGAGCCAAGTTCAAGCCCTCAGGCCACACCAACGCAGTATTCAATAACGCAATTCAATGTCTGGCGCCTAGCGCCCAGCCTACTCTACTTGCCTATCTACCCTACTTGCGTTCATGCAACAGGTTCACTTTGTCTTCGAAGACCAATGTACATGTCGTTAACACCAAACCCGACCTCCCACATACACCAGGTACGTATCTTCGTCTCCCCTCATCACCCCCTGACACCCACTCTCTGCGCCTCCTCCCGAAGACCGCTCCTGTCGCCCTTCATCCGCCTCACGCCCTGCAGCCCGGCTATGGCCGCTAGCGCTCGCTGCCCTGCAGCACCCTCACATCACAGTGCCCGTGCGTGCCGCAGCCAGCAGCTGAGCAAAGGAGACACTCGCACACGCGCAGCAGCGTGTCCGCAATGCCAACATTGGCCCGCATCCTCTCTCTTGCTGCCCTGCTTCCTATATGGAAGTGGCAGCCGCTGTAGGACTCATGTGTGGGCCTGGCCATGGAGTTTCTTGTAGCTCCCGGTCGGACCCCTATATCTGCGCCCAGGCCTCGTTTGACAGTTGAGGGCCTGGGCCCTTTTCAGTTGGGCACACCCAAAACTCTCCAGGCTCCGAATGTTTGCTGCACTTGCACTGGGCCACGGGGTAGATACGACAACAATGCTGCTTTCTTGCTGACCCGTGGCCACTTCGTGATGTATCTGCCTCTCAATGCATGTGCCCTAGGCTCAACCACCCGGACCCAGGGCAAGGCGTCAGGTTGCTCTTCGACCAACTGTCGTGTAGCAACTGTCTGAGACCTGCATTGAAAAATGGTGAGATAAGGGCCTCACATGAATATTCAAGCCTGCCTTCACTTAGGGCGGGCATGAGGATTGCTGGGGGCCCACAGGCAGAACATATGCATGTTGTCTATGGGCCCCCGAGGACGCATTCCTCACATTATATCCCACTTTGCTTTGAAAGTCCATTGAGATGCTTCTATGCAGGCGCCTTCCCCTTCAACCTTCTTTCACGATCTGCCACGATCTGAGATGTTGTTTCAATCAGTTCCTTTATGGTGAGCCATCGATCTTCTTTAGGATCCGTGTGATGCCTAAATTTGACCCTGTATTCCCTCTTGGGCTTCTACGGCCTTCCTGTGCCGACAAATTTAGGAGTAGGCATGTCTCTGTGCTCCAAAATATCATCAACGTCCTCAAGGGGGCAGCATAGATTTGTTTGATGGGAACTGCTATCTCTTAGCGAAAGGTGCAAGCTTTGAGGCGTGAAACACAGGGTAAGTGTGTAGGTGACCAGGGATTCGATTCACATACGAGGGAGCATCTTCTTCACTACCCACAATATCCAAGACTTCCCAAGGACCGAAATATCGAGGCATTAGTTTCCTAGAGATGCCGAATTCCTATCGTAACTCACTCGCCTCTACCCAGACATGTTCCGCTACCTGAAATGTAGACTGTCTTCTATGCTTGTCCTTAGAAGCAATCATTGCTTCTTGAGATTTCTTGATGTGCTCGACAGTCTGCTGCAACAACTTCTCGTACTAAACACCGAATTCAATAGTTCCAAGAGTTGAAGCAAGTCGATTTTCAGGCAGGAGGAAGTCTAGAGCAGATCTAGGCTTCCACCCCAAGTGCAGCTGATTCGGAGTGAAGCCGGTGGTGTTGTGCACAACGTTGTTGTACAGACTGGCGATGAGAGGTAACTTCTCATCCTTGTCCTTTTGGCTGGGCTTTATGTAATGCCTCAGCAGATGCTGTACCACTCGGTTCATCTGTTCAGCCTGCCCGTTGGCTTCGGGATGATTCCCATAAGTCATCTAGAGTTGGCTGCCCATTTGATTTGCAGCCTTCTTCCACATCTCACTTGTGAAACAGACATCTCTATCACTAACGATAGTCCTTGGCCATCCAAAGTCACGCACCAGCTATCCATGAAAACTTGATGACGTGCTCAGTCCTTGCGGTCTCCTACATGGCATGTCTGGCGAATTTAGTAAACCTATCAACTATGACGAACATATGCCTTTTACCACTCTTGCTGGTCACGAGGGTATCCATGAAGTCCATGGAGACACTCTGTCCCGGACCAGCAGGAATGGGTAGAGGCTTGAGTAACCCATGCGGAGCTTGAGTTCGCGGCTTGTCCCGCCGACAGACTTGACAAGACTGTTCATACTTCTTCGCATCGTCAAGCATGTTAGGCCACCAAAATCGTTGTACTAAATTAGCACTAGTCTTTTTCCAGCCGAAATGTCCCGTTGCGTCGTGGCACTCGCCTAAAAATAATCTACGCAAAATCTCTCTAGATGGAACAACTAACCTTTTAAAACCTCCCTTCTCAAGGAAGAGTAGCCCATCCACCACCACAAACTCATCAGATGTGGCCTTGTCTTGGCCTCAAGTTTGCGGATGATGTCCATCGTGACGGGATCTTTCTTGTACGCAAGGGCCATCGATCGAGTTATACTCTCAGATAAACCAAACTCAGTAATTAGCGCACCTATGCGACCAGGCATCAGCAACCTTGTCATACTGGTCTATGACCTCAATCCATCGTTTGAGTGCATTGGAAGGAACAGGTTGTGTCTTGATCCACTTGAGGGTTTGATGGTCAGTTCTCAGATAGCAGAACCTTCCCAACAGATAGTGTCTCCGGTGGACAAGTGCCTTATAGAGGGCGTAGAGTTCCCTTTCATTGGTGGACTTTGCTAACTTCTTAGGAGACATTTTTTTGCTCATGTGCTCGACTGACCTCAACTTATTCCCTTCTTGTTGAGCCAACACTGCGCCAATGCCATATTGGCTTGCGTCAGTGGTCAATACAAATGACCTTCAGGATCGAGGACCATGAGAACCTCATGGTGCGTGAGAGCATGCTTCAATCGCTTGAAAGCGGCCTCAGACTTGTCAGTCCACTCCCATGGTGTGTCAAAGCGAGTTAGATTAGTCAAAGAGCTGGCCACCGTGCTATAGTTCTTGACAAAGTTGTGGTAGTAGCGAGTCATCCCTAGAATAATCTGACCTCGGTCATAGACTGAGGTCGTGGCCAGTCACGAATGCTAGCCAGCTTGGCATCTTCAGGCCAGATCCCATCCGCGGATATCTCATGACCTAAGTACAAGATTTTAGTGCAACCGAACTCTCATTTCTCCGAGTTAATCTTCTACTTGTGTTGTCGTAGGAGTGAAAGGACAATTTCTAAGTGTTGAGCATGCTCCTCGACTGTTCTACTCAGGATAAGAATGTCGTCGAGGTACACGACGATAAACTTGTCTAAGTAGTTATGGAATATCCTATTCATGGCGTGCTGGAATGTTCCCGACACATCGCAAAGGCCAAAGGGCATCACCACAAACTCGTACAGACCGTACCTGGTCTGGAATGCAGTTTTGCGCTGGTCCTCGGGTCCAATGGGAATTTGATGGTAGCCGGAGTTCAAATTTATCTTAGTGAAGTACTTACATCCGTGTACCCTATCCAACAGGTCATCGATGGGCAATAGAGGCTCTGTGTTCTTCACAGTGATGGCATTGAGGCCTTGATAATCAATGCACATCCTCAGTGTCCCCTTCTTCTTCGGGACAAATAAGCCAGGTGAGCCGAAGGGGAAGGTACTAGGCCGTATCCAACCCTTCTCTGTAAGCTCTTTCAGTTGCCGACGAAGCTCGTCCAACCCGACTAGAGCCGTCCTATAGATTCTTCCTTTGGGTGTCTTGCTACCTGGGATGATCTCTATGGCATGGACAACTCCTTGTCGACGACTCTTGAAGGCGCTCTTCAAACAAATCAGGGTATTTTGCGACGACATTTTCTATCTCTGGGGGTGTTTTAACGACCTCCCCTTTCTCAGAGACAAAGACTAAGTACATACCCTCCTCTTGGTTCTGTTTATAATTGTTATAAAAGGCTGATGCACACATACATCCGTAAGTGTCTATCAGACTGCTAGCTTTGTACTTGGCAAGTCTGACTGTCCTCCCTTCCAGTAGTACATGCTTAAGCACTTTTCGGTCCTAGTCAAACTGGAGCTTGGCAACCTCAAGGTAGTACATACTCGATAGCATGTCAAAAGGCAAGTCGTCGCTGACTAGGAATGAAATCTTATGATTCAATTCTACAACAGCCCGTTCATGTTCTACGTAGGCCGTTAGGTCGAGTGTTTGGCAGCCCCGTCTGTGTGACGCGGAACTTGACTGCACCCCACCCTCTCCCGTATCCTCTTCCGATCCCTGTTCTTGTCAATCAGGCGTACTTGGGTCCCTTTCTGACCTGTCTGGATTTGCAGGATAGTTTAGTAGGGACCTATCAGGAAGGAGAGATCTGACTGGATTTAGGCCCAACAGAAAACGAAACAAGCTCAATTTGGCCAGTGAAGGAGGGTCACAACCACACTGCGCCGTGTTCCTTCCCAGTGTGAATGGGGGTAATTGGGTCCGTTTCCAGCTTGTATGGATTCGCCGGGCAGATTGGTAGGGACCTATCAGGTGGCAGAAGTTTGGCTGGACAACTCAGACCAAGCAGTCAAGTAACTTAGCAGCACCTTGGGGAAACTAAAGATTATTTGAAGTCTGTGGTTCTATTAAAACTTTCATCATAGAGCACAGGACATTGATGTTGGACATAAACGTTTGCAGAGCTACGTCTCAGCCGAATAGAACACCCAGTCATTATCGCTGCGTCTGGACTGAAAGCTGCCCCAAATACAGCTATAATGATCAAGTGTTCTATTTGGGTGAAGACCTTAGTGGCAACGCGTGGCAACGCATGGAACATGCTGAATGGGAGAATCTGTGCTTAGCAAAAGACTCTGTCTCTTGGTGTTCAAAAATTGAGTTTGAACAGTGACTGTTCTTTTGTGCCTATGTTTATTCTCCGCCTGTTGGATCTGCTTGTATCGACCATGTTGAGGATTGATATCCCATCCACCTTGCTAGGCTTCTCCGTGAACGAGAAGGGGCTGCATTTGTCTCGATAAGCTGAATGGAGCTGTTTCGACGAGGTTGCCTGGCAAAGACAAAAGGATTTGAAACAATTTGACAGTAGGGGGGGATCACATGTTTTGCAAGGGATCAAAGCAATAGCGCCTCTTGCATTTGCCGACCATCTCAACAAGCAGAAGGGATGTGAGATGGTGAGAAACACTTCGATAATATGGTGGAATCACATGGTGTGCAAGGGCTTCAATGAAATCATTGAAATGTCTTGATGAGTGGAAGGGATCATATTTCTGGTACGGTGAAAGGTTATAAGAACACTCCAACTGATACAGTGAGATGGCAGCTTTTGCAATGGCTCGATCATCTCGGTCACCTTGATGAGCGGATTGTCATTTCAGAAGAAGCTGAAGCATGTGAGCAAGTGGAGGGATTATGCGTTACTGGCATTTGCTGTGTTGCTCTGTGATTTCATGAACGTTTCGGAGCTCTTCTTTCAGCAGAAGCTGAAGTCTTGTAGCAGGTGAAGGCATCATGTGGTTTTGTCATTTGCTGAGTCGTCCCGTTAAATAAAGGGACGATGTTTGTTGTTTGCATACTGGCTTTCATCAGTTGGAGGAGTGGTATACCTTTCTTCGTATTCACTCAACCATGTCCTATAAATCGGAGGGGAGGTTGTTTGTTCACGGCAGTTCGTCAACTATTTTGATAATCTGCAACAATTGCACTCCCTTGCAATTTGCTAAAACAATGTGGTAATTGGGAAGGATGATGTTTCTGGAATTTGCAGAATGAGTTTGGTGATGTAAGAGGAATGGCGCTTGTGGCATTTGCTGAACTGCGTGATTGGAAGATGGCATTTCTGTCTTTTGCTCGGGAGCTAGGGTGAAGTTTCCCTGGCAAAAATACCATGCAGGCCAGCACTGCCAGCATAATTCCTGTATGCATGAGATTTGACTGTCCGGGATTTGTGCAGTTACGCACGGTCTATGACAACGGTGGTTGGTCGGTAGGCGGACGTGTGTGTATTGGGCGGTGACATGGAGACTCGATGATACAGTGGACCTTCACCTGGTTCTGGGGGAAACTTGGCCCGTAAGAAGCCACAATAAAATGGGCGGGGAAGGGCAATCGGTCGTAAGGCAAGCCCTTGGAATAGCAGGTATTCTATCTAGGCTGCTGCCCATCTCTCCCTGGCACTTTGAATGCCACTTTGGCACCATAATCGAATATGATTTATCCACTAAATCTTTTTTTTTTCCAAACACACACGCCCCTTCTATTCTGGGGGGCACCAGTCCGGTTACTTATCACTGGCAAGCATGTTTTTACAAGCAGAGATCGGGGGAGAATAGATGAGAGAAGGTCAGCCACTCCCTTGAGGCCCTGGCCTCCTGGCAAGGGGGGAACTGCTCCAGGGTGTCCCTCCCCTCATACCCCCGCCTTTCGTAGGGGGTTGCCCTTCTGGCCGGGAAGCTTACTAGCAGCACCTAGTCACGCAGCAGGGTAATGTCCAGAGAGGCTGGGCGCAGGGCAGGGGTCCCTTAGCAGTTCCACGGGCCGCATGTCATCCTGGTCTCATCCTGTTCCTGCCTCCCACGTTGTCACAACCATCCCCTGTGCCTGTTACCCTCGTCCTAGCCTTGTTTGCCTTGTTTGCCCAATTCCTACCACTGTATACTTTATACTCCCATCTACCTCTTTTGCAATTCCTACCGATTGTAGCTTACCCACTAGCTAGCCTCCTCGTTATCAGGGTTATTGTCAGTTCCAGATTACACTTCCATGCATGTGTTGTTGTTGTTGTTGTTGTTGTTGTTGTTGTTGTTATTATTGTTGTTGTTGTTTGTTGCTGTTTTTGGGTTTGCTTTGCGAAAAATGGATGCAATCCGGTGCTATGATGATCATCTTATACAGTCTGATGCAATTGGCATAACATTATTGGATATCTGTCCAGGCTTGATTTCCCTGGAGGTGATCCACCCCTTTCTAAAGGATGAGAAAGGTCCAATGTCCTTGCTCGGCCGTCTTCCTTAGTTTACCGTTTATCCAACAAATCCTCTCCCTGCACATTGGAGCCTGGAGCTGAATGAAAGGCTGTGTTCCCACTGGACTATGTCTAAGGCACTGTTAGGAAGTGTGATGGTGACTGACCATCAGATGGTCAGATTAGACTTGGGATGATAACATGCATTGGATCTCAAAGCTTAATAAACAGGGGCATGGCTCAGTGGGGCCTTCCCCTAAGGTTCGACTTGCGCTACTTTACATTTCATGCTTATCCCCGACCCTGCTTAAGATGGATGTGTTCTCCTCCTCTAATAAATCACTGCCCCTTTCTCTCTCACCCCTGGGGCATCTGCTCGACGCCCTTGTCATTCTGTGGTCCGACTTCCGGTTTCTATCTGATGGAATGATTCCTCTGTTATGATCCTGGCCAATTTCAAAGTGCAAAATGCCATCCAATTGCAAAAGAACTGAATGAACTTGAGATGAGGGAGGGTTAAAAGAAGAAGAAGAAGAAGAAGATGTACACCAGCAAAGACCAATGACAATCCGCCCTTCTCTTGCCAACCAACTCCTCCTTCTTAGTGTCTCCTCTCTTATTCAAGGGATAAATAATAAGAATAATGATGAATGTCTCAATCAGAATCGAAGTCTGAATCCCTCTTCTACTGCTCGGCATAATCAGAGGTCCACCACAGTCATGGCCTCCTTCTCCCTCGTCTTCAATCACGCCCAGGCTATGGTGGCCTAGTAAGGACCTAGCCCTGCTGTGCTGCTACTCAAGCCGCCATGCCTGACTCTGCCTTGAAGCCTTTTTGGTGCAGTCTGACCCCCACTGGGGCCATCCAGATGCAGTGCCTAACAAGGTGATGAAGATGGCGTCCACCATAGCCAGGTAAGTACCTCGCCACTCTCCTCTCTAGTCCCCTTCGTCCTCCTCCTACCGGTGCAGCTCCACCATAGCCAAGGTGGAAGCTCCCAGCCTTAGCGATGCTCTACTCCAGCACTCTTCCAGCAGCGCTCTGAAGACTAGCGCCCGCTCAAACAGCATGACGCCCAAACTTGCATACCGCAAATGAGGAGGAGCACTTCGCCCCTCCTGGAGATATAGCGGCCTACCTGCCTCTTTGGTGGTGATTTCCAGGCTGCGCGGCCTCCAAGCAACCGGTACCTCCTCCCTTTCGGTGGGAAACATCATTGCAGGCTCTGATATCGTCCACACAGGCCCTAGACTCAGGCTACTTGGACTGGTAGCCGCCTACCTCTAACTTTTTGCCTTCTTCTGCTCGGCCTCCAGTTCCTGACACATCCATGGCTACTTGAGTGGTACCGGCCTACCTGCTACTTGAGTGTTTTTCCCCGCTGCTCTAAGTGCCGCGGGCCTACTCCCGCTACTTGAGTATTTTCCCCGCTGTAACCGTAAGGTCACGGCCACAGGTAAGTACCCGGCCCCACTGGGCCTTTCAACAAGTGCCCTGGCAGGCCACACACACACTCAGACCGAAAAGCACTCAGGCAGGCACACGAACCAGCAAGCACACACACACACACAAACTTTGAAAACTCAGCAGAACACGGGAATCTCAGCGAGGCATTCATTCCAGTCATTACACTAACCCCCTTCAAGAGCGAGGACCCTTCGAGCGAGGTCCCCTCGAGTGTTTTGGCAGGTCATTACACTACCCCCCCCTCAAGAGCGTGGTCCCTTCGAGCAAGTAACTCACTCAAGAGTCCCTGCACAATGCATCATGGGAGTAGATGGCAAAGAGTGATCGGGTGTGTTCAATAGGAGTGAGAGTAGCAGAAAACTTCGGCTGCTGTTTCGGTTGCTGATCGGAGGACTGTGGCTGCTGTTCGGAGACAATCAATCGCTCATAGGCTTTGACGACTTGCCGGGCACTCTGGTGCAAATTCTTCTTAGAATTCGAGTAAAAGTCATCTAACGGGTGATACAAAAATAGACCTTATGTTGTCTGTTCTTCCCGTTTCCATTGTGTTCGACAATTCTATCAATCTCGTGACCGCCATTGATTGCACAAGGGATCATCAGTT